ATGGGAGAACGGTCTCACCATCCCTATGTGAAGGGTATTCCGTTAAAGGAATCCAGGGACTCGAATGGTTTGGTCAACCCTGAGAGGGGTTGTGCCCGTGCCTGAGTCCAGGGGGACATCTGGGTGGTGAATATAGTCTGTTCCCGGCTTTTCACCTATCCAGGTGTTCACCCTTGGCTGACCTATGCTGGTGCCCTGGGTCAGCGCTGCCTGCAAGGGTGCAGGGAGCTTGTTGAACCAGAGCCTATGCAACCACTGACTTTCTGTAATCAATAAAGTTGTGGCCTAAATTCTGCCAAAAACCAAACTAAAATTTGAGTCAAGTGTGAATTTATTTAGGGGGGAGATCTCTGGGTCTGAACACGCAAAAGCTTTTTGCTCAGACATTTTTTGTTCCATCAGGCATTTGGGTTTATATTGTTTTTAAATATACACGATGAAATACTGTGTTGCATAAAAAAGTGGTGCAAGGACTTTTGTTTGTGCAAGGGAACTCCCCCTCCCTCTCCTCTAACCATGAGCCTCCCATGCCCTCCTCACATCTGCTCTGGAGGGCTGAAAGGGAAATGTGAAAATTGAAATGCCTTTTACTGAAGAGATGCAGTTGGTCTGACGAGAGCACATTATTAACTGGGCAAAGACTCAGGGGAAAGATCTTTCATTCAACAGTCTTCTTACTTCAGAAGACAAACACTGGATGCTTGTGGATCACTCCAACAAGCATCTAAAGAAGATGGTATAAGGCCATAAGGATTGGGGGGAAGAAACTCAATATTGTGTGGAATATTGTGCTAAGAAAAGAGATTAGAGCTTTCACCATTGTGCACCAGGCCAGGTCGGAGGCTTGAAGAGGATCACCAAGATGAAATAACAAACTAAGTAACCCTGTGAATCTGTGAAGTGTGTCCTTATAGAATTCTGTGGTGTTTTGAATTTAGAAGCATCCCTTTGATACCTTTCTCAAAGGAGATCAGAAGTATAATTTACTGCCTCATCCCTAGAATACAGCCACACAACTTCACATTGACAGCACATTCTTTCCGTTCCTGGGGTACTGAGAGTTTGTCCCAACAATCCTATAGAGAAAAGTAATTTGTTGTTTTGAATTTACTCACACACTCACAAACCTCAGGCTATATCTGTTTTATTATTATTATTCATATAGAGCCATCAATATGACCAGTGCTTGAGAGACTGCAAGAGGACAGCCCCCTGCCCCAAGTAGCTTACAATCTAAAACTTCACACAGGGCAAGCAGCGGAGGATCTGAAAACATGGCAACAGGGCACAGCAAGAGAGCAATATGTAGTGTTTTCAGTTTTGCATGCTTAGGCTTAGATATCAGCTGAGTTACAGTAGGACATGAAAACTAGGGGCTTGTGCCAAATTCTTCATGGAAAAACAATTTTCAGATTTACTTTTTTTAAAAAACAGCCTTTTTATCATGTATTAATTGCAGTTATACAGTAATGCACAACAGGGAGAATAGCTTGGAAAAACAAATAATTAAAAATTATAGAATAACTAAGAATTATTATTCGTCTTCTTGCGGGGTATGATGTAAAGGCTCACTGGGAAAATCATCCTATTCATGCAACCCCTGAACGCTGTGTGGGGCAGGGGCTATTGGTTTTGTTTGTTATTATGCTGCATATTTTTTGTGCTTTTATATTGTAAATTATCCTGGGATCTTCAGATGAAGGGCGGTATAGAAAACAAACAAACAAACAAACAAACAAATAGAAATTATATGTCTCACTGAGTGGTGTATTATCACATTTATGGGCTAATTGCTGCCTTTTCGGCTCCTATGTATGTAGGACTTGTGATTAGCCTTTCAAAACTATCTCCTTGTGAGTCTCCTCATGGGACAGGCAAAGATATGCTAAGAAGATGCTGGAGTCCTGACATATCTTTTTTTTTTAAAGCAATTTATTGGGTTTTACAATAGAAATAAATGTAATAAACAATATAGCATTCGTCTTAACATAATTTCACATTTTCTTTGGACTTCCTCACATCTCCCGCTCCCACCTTCATCATTATAACATTTTGTCAGCAATTTATCATCTTATTTAAATTCTTATATCTCTTCGATATTTCATAATCTTAAAGTTCTCATAAAGAGTTAAACTTTCACAATTTTTCTTGTTTCCTTAAAAATTTCTAAGTTAAGTGGTGCTCAGTTATTTAGTCCAGCATCTTATTCAGCATTCAATCAAATCACAATGTTTTTGTAGGTAGTTCTTAAATTTCTTCCAATCCTCCTCGATTCTCTCTTCTCCCAGGTCACGGATTCTGCCGGTCATTTCAGCCAGTTGCATATAGTCTATCAGTTGCATCTGCCATTCTTCCAGTGTGGGTAGATCTTGGGTTTTCCAATGTTTTGCGAGTAGTATCCTTGCTGCTGTTGTTGCATACATAAAAATGTCTGGTCCTTCTTTGCCACCCCTTGGCTGACAATACCCAAAAGGAAAGCCTCTGGTTTCTTAGTGAAAGTATATTTAAATACCTTTTTCAATTCATTATAAATCATTTCCCAGAACGCCTTCACTTTAGGGCATGTCCACCAGAGGTGAAAGAACGTTCCTTCACACTCTTTGCATTTCCAGCACTTGTTGTCAGACAGGTGGTAAATTTTTGCAAGTTTGACTGGGGTCATATACCATCTATAAATCATTTTCATTACATTTTCTTTCAAAGCATTACATGCAGTAAATTTCAATCCATTACTCCACAGCCTTTCCCAGTCCTCAAACATAATATTATACCCAATATCCTGTGCCCACCTTATCATGGCCGATTTAACCATTTCATCCTGTGTATTCCATTCCAACAGCAAGTTATACATCCTTGAAAGTATCTTAGTCTTTGGTTCTAACAATTCTGTTTCTAATTTCGATTTCTCCACCTGGAACCCTAGTTTCTTATCACTTTTAAAAACTTCTTTAATCTGAGCATAGTGTAACCAATCTCGCACTTTGTCTTTCATTTTCTCCAAGCTCTGCAATTTCCAATTGTCTCCATCTTTTCTAGTATTTCCCAATATTTTGGCCATTTGGCCTCCATATTGGGTCTTTTCGGGCCTTAGCTTCCAAAGGTGAAAGCCACCTTGGTGTTTTATTTTCCAGCAAGTCTTTATATTTTGTCCAGACATTAAACAGTGATTTTCTAACAATATGGTTCTTAAAGGCCTTATTTGCTTTAACTTTGTCATACCATAAATATGCATGCCATCCAAAAACATTGTTAAACCCCTCCAAATCTAACACATCAGTGTCTTCAAGAAGTAGCCAGTCTTTTAGCCAGCAGAACGCTGCGGCTTCATAGTACAACTTTAAGTCTGGCAGGGCAAAGCCCCTCTTTGTTTAGCATCGGTTAATATCTTAAACTTAATTCTGGGCTTTTTGCCCTGCCAGACAAACTTCGAAATGTCTCTCTGCCACTTCTGAAAGCACTCCATTTTGTCCAATACCTGCAGTGTTTGAAATAAAAACAACATTCTTGGCAATACATTCATCTTAATCGCAGCAATTCGGCCTAACAAAGAAAGTTTCAATTTTGACCAACTGTCTAAGTCTCTCTTAATTTCTATCCAACATTTTTCATAATTATCCTTAAATAGACTTAGATTTTTGCTGTTATGTTTACCCCTAGGTATTTTACTTTTTAACCACATTAAGTTCCGTCTCATTCTGAAACCGTTCTGACTCTGTCTCAGTCAGATTTTTCCCCAAAACCTTAGTTTTCTGTTTGTTTAATTTAAATCCCGCCACCCGACCAAAATCATTAATCAATTGTAATACTCTTTTCGTACTAGGCTCTGGCTTCTGCAAGGTCAAAACCAGGTCATCTGCAAAAGCTTTTAATTTATATTGTTTCTGACCAACCTGAATTCCTTCCACCAGCTGGTCCCTTCTAATCATGTTCAATAGCACTTCCAGGACCGAAATAAATAACAAAGGGGAAATAGGGCAACCTTGTCGTGTCCCTTTTTCAATTTTGAACTCTTCTGTAACCACATTATTAACTATCAGTTTTGCTTTCTGTTCTGAATATATCGCCTCAATCCCATTCTCAAAACCCCGTCCCACTCCCATCTCTTTTAAGTTTCCCATCATAAATTTCCAAGAAATGTTATCAAAGGCCTTCTCCGCATCTATAAAAATTAAAACAGCTTTTGTATTTATGTCAGTTTGGAGAAGTTCCAAAATATCAATAATGTTCCTTGTGTTAGCAAACAAATGTCTACCTGGGAGAAAACCGGCCTGGTCCTTATGAATTACTTCATTTAAAACTTTTTAAATCTACTTGCCAAAATATCTGCAAATATTTTGTAATCCACATTTAAAAGGGAGATGGGACGGTAGTTCTTCAGTTGTGTCTTTTCAGTTTCTGACTTTGGTATCAATGTGATAAACGCTTCCTTCCACGAATCCGGTGCCCTCTTCCCCTCCATAATTTCATTGCTAACCTCCATCAAAGGTTGTATCAAATAGTCTTTTAGTATCTTGTAATACTTGGAGGTCAGCCCGTCTGGCCCTGGAGATTTGCCAAGTTGCATGTTCTGAATAGCTTGTTCAATCTCCTGTCGTGTTATTTTAGAGTTCAGGATTGTCCTATTTTCTTGTGACAGTTTAGATAATCAATTTTTGGCAAAAAATTGTTTAATCTCAACTTCGTCTTGCGGCCCTTGGGTATATAATTTTTTAAAATATCTCTGGAAACACTTTCTAATGTCCACCGGATTCTGAATGTTTCTTCCATCAACCTCTAAATTTGTAACCGTGTTTAATCTTTGTCTTCTCTTCAACTGCCAGGATAGCAGTTTTCCACATTTATTCGCCGACTCAAACGTTTTTGTTTCATTAATTTGATCTTCCATTCAATTTCCTGATTTATCAATTTAGAATACTGTGTTTGATACAGTTTAATTTCTCTCAGAGTTGGCTGTGACTTTGGATTCACTCTTAATTTCTTCTCTAATTCTTTTATTTTATCCAAAATCTTGTCTTTTTTCTCATTTTGTGTTTTTTTCTTTACTACATTCTGTTGTATCAGGAATCCCCTCATAACAGCTTTGCTTGCGTCCCAGACGATTCTTTTTTCCACCGAATTGTTCATATTTATCTCAAAATAATCTTTCAAAACTTTTTGGGCCTTCTTGGTAATTTCCTGATCTCTAAACAAATTGTCATTCATCTTCCATCTAAAGGATCCAGTTGGTAGTAGTGTCATGTCCATCTTTACTGCGTTGTGGTCAGAACAGGTCTTTGGGCAGATTTCCACTTTTCTAACCCTAGGTGCCAGGCCTCTAGAGATCCATATTTGGTCGATTCTTGTCCAGGTCAGTTGGGCTTCAGAAAAGAATGTTCCTTCTCTACCTAGTGGGTTCTTTGTTCTCCAAATGTCGATCAAGTCCATATTGTCAGTCATTTCAAAAAAAGTTTTAGGTAGTCTGCCATCTTTTGTGATGTTTTGACTTTGCGACTTGTCCATGTTAGTTGACACGACCCCGTTCATGTCTCCCATCATTATGATGTTGTTGTAATCCAGATGATCCAGCATTGTCCCCTGCAACTTCTTGTAAAATTCCGATTTCCCTTCATTAGGCGCATAGATTCCTAGTATCAGCAGTTTCTCTCCTTGATATTGTATCTCAATAGCCAAAATCCTTCCATGCTCATCTTTAAATAGAAATTTAGGTGACAGGCTCTCTTTTGCATATATCACCACTCCTCTCTTCTTCACTTTATCCGACGAAATAAATTCCTGGCCCAATCTTTTATTTATTAACACTTTTCTGTGGAGCCTCGTCACATGTGTTTCTTGTAAGCAAATAATGTCCAATTGTTCTTTTTTAATATATGAAATATTTTCTTCCTTTTCTCCGGAATATTGCAACCATTAATATTCCAACTCAACAGTTGCAGAGACATCCTGGATCTATCTGGTTATTTCTCCTGGGGTGGTGTCTTCTCTTGATCTTCAAGTTCCCGAGGTGGAGGTATTGATGCTGGCTTTGCCTCAGGCCCGGAAGGTAGTTCAATTCCTTTATGTAGGTCCTCTCCGTGTGTAGCCAAAAATTTATCTCTCTCTTCCAATGTTCTGATTTTAACCTTTCTCGCTCTAAAGGTAAAAGATAATCCTTGGGGAAAATCCCACCTGAATGGAATTGCGTTGCTCCTTAATAGTTTAGCAAGTTCGGAATAGGCGGCTCTAAGGTCCAACAGTTGTCTTGGGATATCTTTATATATCTCAATTCTTCTATCCAAAACTTCCAGTGACTTTTCGTAATGTAGGCCCAAAATCTTATCCCTTTCCTCCTTCGATCTCAATGTAATCAAACAATCCCTGGGCCTCTCCTTCTTTGTAAATCTTCCAAGTCTGAAAGCTGACACAATTTTAAAGTCCTTTTCTTCCAAATTCCAGAACTTGGAAAGTTCTTTGGTCAAAAACTCAGTTAGATTTCCTTCTTCTGCCTCTTGTAATGATCTAATCCTCAGATTATTCTCACGATTTCGCAGTTCTATCATAGAAAGATAAGTCTGATGTTCCCCAACTTGTTTAGTGAGTGGTCTTACCTCTTGCTCTAAATTTTCCAATTTTTGTCTGGTATCCTCAGCCAATTTTCGGTTTTCTACTGAGGCCTCCGTCAACTGTCCAATTGCTTGTGTATTCTGTCCCACCTGTGTAGTTAATTTGTTTAGACAATCTGTATTTTTATCAATCTTTGCTGATTGCGCATCTACTTTCTTGTCCAAAGCTTCCAATTTTTCAAAGATTTTTCTAGCACAGAAACAGATGCTCCTGAGGCCATATCTTCCAATTGTAACTGCTCTACTTCACCCTCTCCCTCTTTTGCCTGTGACAAGGCAGCTTCTTCAAGTTGTACTTCTGAGGGCAAAGTAGGCACAGATGATCTACGTGTCTGCGAGGTTGAGGTTAGATTTGTTAGAGTTGTTTGTCTAACTCTTCCTCTTCTTCTTGTACCACTCATTCCAATGTTATCTATCAGTCAAGGTCACACTGAGTTTTTCCCACAGGAATAGAGAGGCCCAGAGCAAGCAGACAGCAAGAGAATCGAAAGTAAATGTTTTTATAAAGTCACTGTTTTAATCCAATCCTCTAGGGGGAGCTTAAAGTGTCTTTTCAGAGTCTAATTTAATGTCCCAGAACCTTCCAATATAAGTATTAAGCAGAGTTTAAAAGTAATCACTTTGTTGCAGACAGTGCTTATTTGTCTCCAAAAAGAATGTTTCAAATTTAAAAGGTCTCAATACCCTCAGATTGTTGCAACTTCTAATATACAGTATCCAAGTCAAACACTGACAGCCCACTGTTACAGTGCTCAAGCAATCCTGACTCTGGGTTTCACCTTCCAATTTGTAATCCAATAAAAGGGGGAAAGTCAAGTGCAAACGGAGTCCTGACATATCTGTGCCTGACACTTGAGTAGATATAGCTGGAACTCTTCCCACATTCATTATTCCGGAAAGCAGTTTGGTGATATGGTCCAAGAGCTTCACAAAGGGGAAAGCTGCTAGGGCATGTGCGTTATTTCTCCCCAAATGCTTCAGGTCTGCCAAATCCCCAAGTAAGTGATGGATGGATCTGTGGATTTTGATTCTCTTTGTTTCTCATTTTTCCAACCCCAAACTCCGTTCTTCACATTTCTGCACCAATTTGTATGTTTCTTCTTTTTCTTTTAAAATAAATCATTGAGATCTCCAGGAAGGCCATTTGACTGTGAGTCCACCCTAGGGGTTGTAGCTCTGTGAGGGGAATAGGGGTCTCCAAACAACTCTCAGCACCCTTAACAAACTATAGTACCCAGGATCCTTTAGGAAAAGTCATGATTCTCTAAAATAGCATGCTAGTCCTTTATATGTATAGAGCAGACTGGACCTTTTTCAAAGCAGAATGTCGACTGATGGAGCACTAGAATAATTGATGGATTCTACCTGTTCTGGCAAGTGAATAAAGTAGTAACAAGGCTTTCAGCTTCCTCCTTTGATTAGGTTTTCATTTCATGCTAGCTGTTTAAATGGCAGCACTTCTTTATAAGAATTGTTGTGTTTTTAATCAAAAGTTTAAGGAAACATTTAAACTGGCTGAATGTCTTTTGTTAAACCTCAGTGTGTTCTGCAAGTTGAACTTATGTGGTCAGAAGTAAGCACTACTGAGCTCAATGGAGTTTGCTTCCAGGTAACTTATACACAGGAGCCCTGTTTTAAAAAGAAATTTAGTAGACAATTTTGGTGTCTTTCAGTTTCTCATTTTTTTCTACCTTAAGTTCTCAACATTTTCACATCAGATTGTGATTATTATTATTTATTTAAACCTCATGAAAATTCATCAGCATCTTGATGTGAAATTCTCCCAATATACACATTTTTGTTTGCAATTTTGCCCAATATGCATATTTTTGTAAAGAACATTTATTTAATATTAATATTTACCCCTATTATATAATGCATTTCTGCATGTTATTTTTAAATACATGCATTTTTACACACACTGTACCTTAGTATATATATGCAATTTTGCACACATTCATTGGCTGAATAGCTGCCTCACAAAATTTATCCAGTAGAGTCAATTTCAAAGGGTGATTGTGTCTGGGCTGTATGTTGTTTTGGGGAAAGCAAATCAGGTAGATCCCTTTCAACGCGAAATGAATTAAATTTCTTCCTCTTCCCTAGTTAAGAGTAAAAAGAGGGGGGAAATCATGAGCCACTGATGTCATCCAGGTGGCAGTATAAAGAACATATCAAGTTGTATGCTTTTGGCAAAATAAAAATAGGACAGTCAAAAGTGTAGGCATATCATGCTCATCACTTTGTCCATTGTATATGAATAATATCATTAGTAAATGGAAAACTCACCCGGATTTCTTATCACACTTTTACTACAACTGACTCACACATTGAGGTTTGTGAATCAGAGTTTTCCCCAAAATAATAACAGGAAGATTGGTTTTTGAGTGATAGGTTCTGAACATCTGTGTCTTCTCAACAAAATTTGACCGTTAGGGAGCTACAGTTTCTCTGTAGTCGCTGAGAAAACAATGCTAACTCACGCCAAGAATCAATTAAGCCGAGGAGACAGTTCCATCTCTTTGTTTCCTGGGAAGAGAACAGGTGCTTAATAATTTACATAAATTATGCAAAATCCAAAGCATTTACAGTAACTAAACACTTAGCAACAGACATGAATTGGAAGGTAAGTTGGCTGATGATCTTCTGCATCACAGCGGCGCCTGCTACCATTTCCACAGTTATAGGTCTGTCGGGCTTTCCATTATGCACCCATTTCTTCTTCTTCGCAGAGAATTACAATTCAGTCCTAATTGAATTTTCTGTTTTGCATCTGGTGAACCAAGATCATTGGCCGCAACTGGATTTTTTAACAACAACAAGAAGATCAATGGCTTTAAACGCTTGTTCAACACAATCTGCCAGGATGGTAGGCAATTGCGTCTTGTTTCTGTCGAAAGGTGCTGCCTTCATAAGATAAGACACTTTTGATATTTCCTGCGACTTGTGATGATTGTTGCAGGTTTGGCTGCTTAAACCGTAGATGCCTTCAAATCTCATAAGCAAGGGCCTAGGAATTATGTGTTTTTGTAAACAATCAAGTAATTGGCTGAGGGCATTGGTGAAAGCATTCAAGCAAAATGTGAAAATAGGAATCTTCCTGATTCCATCAGACCATTGGCCCAGTAGCATCCATTCTGAGCAGCATGAAAACATGAAAAGAGCCTGCTGGATCAGGCCAATGGCCCATCTATTCTGGAATCCTGTTCTCACAGTGACCACACAGTTGCCTGTGACAAACCCATGAGCAGGACCTGAGCATGAGAGCACTCCTCTCCTGCTGTGGTTTCCAGCAACTGATATTTAGAAACATTATTGGCTCCAACCATGAAGGTCAAGCATAACCATCATGGCTAGTAGCCATTAGTAGCATGGCAGCAGTTCTCCAAGATTTCCAGAGAGAGAAAGAGAGAGAGAGAGAGATTTCATAAAGCCTTGGTGGCTTTATGAACCCCTAGGCTGGAGCAGAACTATGTGAACTAGCCAAGCAACACAAGTGTTTATTGGGGTTCACTGTATTTTTAAGGGAGCAACATGTATACCTGAAGGAGCATCTCCACCCCCATCATTCAGCCCAGACACTGAGGTTCAGCGCCAAGGGCCTTCTGGTGGTTCCCTCATTGCAAGAAGCGAAGTTACAGGGAACCAGACAGAGGGCCTTCTCGGTAGTGGCGCCCGCCCTGTGGAACGCCCTCCCTTCAGATGTGAAGGAAATAAGCAGCTATTCTATTTTTAAAAGACATCTGAAGGCAGCCCTGTTTAGGGAAGTTTTTAATATATAATGCTGTATTGTTTTTAACACTTGATTGGGAGCCGCCCAGAATGGCTGGGGAAACTCAGCCAGATGGGTGGGGTATAAATAATAAATTGTTGTTGTTGTTGTTGTTGTTATGAAACATCATGTCTCCTTAAGTTCCTTTCAGTGTTCTGGAGGGTGGTCAAGACTGTGTGTATATCAAACAGTGAATAAAATAAAATAAAAACTCTACAAGTTGGCAAACCAAATTCTGAAAAAGTGGAGTGCTAAAATTTTATGACTTGCATAAAATGATATAGCCTGCATAAATAAATCAATTAAAAAAAATCTTCCAAAGAGCAGTTGCCTTATGGGAAAGGGGTGTAGCTGAGAAGGAAGAGCCATGGCTAGGTGGCAAAGCATCTGCAGATGGTCCCAGATTCACTTCCCAGCATCTCTGGATAAAGGCTGGGAAGGCTGCTGCCTGAATCCCTGGAGAACCACCCTGCCAGTCAGTGTTGACAGTACTGAGCCGGGTAGAGCCGTGGTCTCCTGGTGAAGCAGCTTCCTTGGTCCCTCTATTGCTGCAGGAAAGGCAGCAAAAGGTACAGGGGTGCCTCACAGATGAACTGTTTTCTTGTGACATTAAGAATTCATGAACTAGAATCTACTTCATCCGAGTTCTGCTTCTGCTAGGAGCGTTACAAGGCAAGGAAGCCCCACTGCCCGCCGCTGGAAATCTTATTCAGCTGCTCAACCAAGTACCAGCTAAGCTATGCACTTAAAAGCCTATCTGTACAACCGTAAGGAAAAAAATAAATATAAAAATTCTACATTTATGGTATAG